AAAAAAAAAAAAAAAAAAAATATATTAGTTACGCTTTTCTATTTATAGCTTAAGGTGCCGAATTGATACAGAATTTGTTTATATATACAGTTTGGATTTTTTTTTTTTTTCCTTTTTTTTTTTTATATTAGGAATGGCACATTAAATGAGGAAAAAGCAAATGAAATAAACTTGCAAAAAGAAAAATCTACGTGTGAAAATGAAATGAAAAATTTAGAAAATANTAATTTATTACGTAATACATAATTACTTAATAAAAAGAAGAACAGAAATTCAAAATGCAAATAAGAATGAATGTATTTACAATACATGGATTTATAAACGGAGTAGTATCATAATGTGTGATATCAACGATAATCAGGACAAGCAAATTGAAAAAGGATTACAAAAAGAAATTGATGTAATAAAACAATACAAAAATAACAAACTTTAACTAATAACAATTACCTTCCCATGGTGGTGGAGTATGGTTAATAAAAGACTTTATTAATCTTTTTGGAAAATAAAAAGACTAGTTAAATGAAGAATACCAAGTTCGTCATACATACACACACAAAAAAAAAATTGATGATTTTATTTTTGTTTGTACTTTTTTCTAAAAAAAAAGTACAAAGACTGTCAGTAAAAATTTTGATAAAAAAAAAAAAATACAAATATCGTCAGGAAAAAAAATTGATTAAAAAGTCAATTAGAAAAATATTTTTTACCATTAAATAAGTATAAAAAAAAAAAAAAAGAAAAAAAAAGATTTTTTTTTTTGGGAATGAATTATGATTTTAATGAATTTTGTAAGAGAAAGTTTTATACATATAACAATAAAATTTTCACGTAAATAATATTTATATAATTAATTTGTATTGTCACTAATTGTTTATGTTTGTTAATTCAACAGCAATACATATTAATTGCTGAATATAACTCATAAAAAAGAAACAAGGAATATACATTTAATTAATGATCAATATTCAATAAGGATATAAATTTTTAATAAAAATAAAGATTTTTATTCAAGTAAATAAATGTCTATTGAAATTAAAGAATGATGAATGAAGTATATTACGTAAATAAGGATCACTCATTCAAAACATATAAAATATATACAAATACATCAAAACCGTAGAGGCAACTCTATATGCTCTTTATTAATTCGTTTGTTCAGTACTCCAATAAAGTTACCGAACACCCAGTTAATAAAACATGCACAAATGTATAATAAATAAAAATAAAATTGTTTTCTTTAAAATAAATAATCTTAAAAATAAGTACTAAATATATAACGATAACCAGAATTTAATTAATCCATACTCAACAAATAAAGTTACAAAAAATTTAAACCAACAAACTTCGAATAACTATAAACTTAATAAATTTTTACTCAATAAACATAACCTTTACCCTTTTCCTCACAACTTGCATATTCCAAATAAATTTTCTAAAATTCAACAATAAAATTTTTATAAAATTTATACCATGCCATAATATTCGAATAATTAATTTATAGGTTATCTTCTCTTTTTTTCTTTAATATACTTATTCATTCTTAATCATAATGTCAACTTAATAATATAAATAAATAAAAATAAAAAAAATTATAAAAAATGGCAAATAATTATTAAATTTTTAATAATGAAAAACTATAAATATAATCATAAATATTCATAAAAAAATAGGTTTCACCTATAATATTCCTGCGATAAAAATAATCAACTCCCATAAAAATCATATAAAATGTTAAAAAAAAAAAAAAACACATTTACTTTTCTCTCAGACTTTCTCAATAAATCATTCATTGTAATTTATCTTGTAAAAATATATATATAAAAAAAAAAAAAAATTGAACAAAATGATAAATTTTATTTTTTTTTTTTTTTATTGTTTTTTATCCAGAATAATGAAGTTTCATAAATTCATCTCACACTTTTCATTCATTTTTTTTTTCAGTGTAATGATATCTTGTTTCTAAGAAATTTTTGTTAATAAACTATTGTTATTATTATTTTCTAAAAAATTATAAGAAATATTTTAAAAAAAATAATCAGAAAAGAATTTAAATTTTCTTGTATTCATAGTAAAAAATTCTAAAATAATAAATAATATCTCAAAGAATGTCAAGTACATATATATATTACCAAATAACAATTGCTTAATAAAAAAACAAAAAGATTAATATAGTTATAATGAAAAAATAAGTGCATTACTTATTAACATTAATTTTAGCTTTTCTTTTTTTTAAATATATATATTTCTTCAAAGATATAACTAAATTATAATGCACTAATTTGTCACCAAAAATTTAAATATTAAAGTAAAAAAAAATTGGAATAACTTTAATCTGCGTTTAAAATTTAATAATTTAACAACAAACAATATAGATTTTTATAATTGTAAGTCATTTTTCTATTAAGCTTAAAATATTTTTTTTATGAAAATATATATGAATAAATAAAATATTCTATTATAACTACCGCTTATAGAATTTACATGTATATATATATATGTT